AGGGGTAACATACTCCAATATATTTAATTTCTTTCATATTTTTATTGAAACTTTTACACGGCTTTCTTCTTTTTGACAAATGTAATTACATAAGTATAAGAAATGAAGCATTATTATTATTGGCTTCCAGTTCGACAGCGTATCAACTTCAAAATTCTTCTTCTTGTGTACAAATCGCTCCATAACCTATCACCCACGTACATGCAAGATCTTCTCAGACTACGCTCATCCACTTGTTCCCGAGCACTCAGATCAACTACAAGTTCACCAACTTTGTTTGTTCCTGGGTGCCGTTCGAAAACATATGGTGAGAGATCATTTCGTGTTGCGGCTCCAAAAATGTGGAATGCACTACCCGTTGAAGTCCGTGAATCAGCGTCAATTGACATCTTTAAAAAGCGACTCAAAACCTTTTTATTTGCCTCTTTATAGCTACTGTTTTCTTCTTTTTTTTTCTTTTTCTCTGTTTCACTTTGCTAGCTAGTGTTGTTTGTTCCAGGTTAGGAGGCACCTGATCCCAGAAAAGATCAAGACTTAACCGATGCTAACCGGAGTACATAAACACAGATCTCCGGTTGGCGGTGATGGTGTAACCCCATACTTCGGTTTGGGTGCTAGCTTGGTGTTTTTTTGTTTTTTTTCCCCGGCTTTTTTCTTTGTGTTCTTGACATCATTATTATCTAGCGCATAGAGACCTCGTTTATTTGCGCTATATAAATCCATCTATTATTATTATTATTATTATTATAAGAGAGAACTTCCATCCCTAACTTATACAATTTAGAAAGGCATACGCTGTTATTTCTCTTTCTTCAGAGTTTGTTCTTGTTTTCTTATGTTTTTTTTTTTTTTTTTTTTTTTTTTTTTTTAAGCTTTAAAATCCATACTGGAGCTTCTTTGCAGCCGGCCACACCTCACCAACAAGCTTCCAGAACATTTTAAGGAAATCACATAAATGAGCCGGAAAAGATAAGATTTTCAATAATAAAATTACTGTAGAAACAGAAGCCGTTATATGTCTTTCTTCTCAGAAAAATAAACACAAGGCCAGACCTATAGAAACAAGAACATAAGAATAAATAAAACCAATATAACTTCTAGTATTTGTGTTTCAGAGCCAACCCAAATCAAAAATTTAATAAAGAAATTTTAATGAGTGCTGTACTTGTTATTTCGCACATTTCTTTGTAGGCATACTATACGGTTGGTATTAAATTTCACCTCTTCTCTGGAACTAACTTCCCATCACCATCCGTTATGCTCCAACTCCTTCTGAATTCAAATTTCTTCTTAAAACTCACTTTTTTCCATAGTTCATATAGTATAATACTTTTAAGCGCTGTGAGACTCCAGTAAAGAGCGCTATATAAATACTTGAATATTATTATTTATTATTATTATTATTATTATTAAATATAGGAGACAACATGAATAACTGCATCCTCGCCAATGGTATATTAAAAGCTGATGTTTTCAGTATGACTGTATTTTAATAATATTATTAATAACAACATTAATTATACTTCAATACAATAACAATAAAATAAAAATGATAATAGGCGTAATATACCTGCATCCTCGCCAATGGTATATTAAAAGCTGAAGTTTTCTCCATGACTGTATTTTAATAATATTATTAATAACAACATTAATTATTCTTAAATACAATAACAATAATATAACGATAATAGGCGTAATATATAATTATCCTATGCTCTTCCAGTGGTTTAACTTTTTATCTTGTGACGAAGATGCCATTTGCATATTAAACAAATAAAACACTTTGGATCAATTAATTGTAGGTCTACTATAAAACGTTTTAACGTTGCTTACCAGTACTGAGAGATTTTCACCATTCTCATCATGAGTTGATTAGCAATGATAATCACACACAGCAATGCCAGAATGAAAATGATTCCACTTTAGATAAGGCTTGGAAGTTGTGTTAGTCTTGAGAGCAAAATAATCATTTGCTGTTCAAGTTTATTTAATAGCTCAATAATTATAAAAGTATATCTTTTGAATTTAGTTACATATTTGCATAAAAGTAAACGCACTATGTTAACTGTTTGTGCTTCTAATTATGTTTAAACTATTTGTAAATATTATTTCGATACAAGAACAAGATTTTCATTTAGTACTGTTTGAACACTATGGCGATGTAATTGGCATAGCATACACCTATTATTTATGCATGTGCCCTTTCATCCAAAATGCTACACTAAAGAATTACCGTACACATTGTATGATTTAATTCGTTAGTCTAAAGTTCAAAGACCCATGCACCAGT